AATCCTGCCTGTTGGTCACGAAGTTGGGCGTCCACGCAGTCCTTCATCCTGTTTAACAATACCCTGTTGAAGACTTTTCCCGGTATTGAGAGAAGAGTGATGCCCCTGTAGTTATCACACTTGCTGAGATCGCCTTTCTTCGGTATTTTGATCAGAAGTCCTTCTTTCCAGTCTTTTAGTACTTGTTCCTCATCCCAAATCTTATTGAAGAGAATGTGGAATATCCTTGCAGTTGCCGCTACGTCTGCTTTTAGTGTCTCTGCTGGGATGTTGTCTGGTCCTGCTGCTTTGCCACTCTTGATTTGTCTGATGGCCATGCTGATTTCTTCGATTGTTGGTGGGCCAACATTGATTGGGAGGTCCGTGGGTGCTGCTTCGATGTTGGGTGGGTTCAGTGGAGCTGGTCGGTTCAAGAGTTTTTTGAAGTGTTCTACCCACCTGTTTCGTTGTTCTTCAATGTTGGTGATTACCTCGCCTTCCTTGCTTTTCACTGTTCGTTCTGGTTTGCGGCGATTTCCAGAGAGTTTCTTTGTTGTGTCATACAGTTGTCTCATGTTTCCTTCTCTTGCAGCCTTTTCCGCCGTCATTGCTAAATCTTCCAGATATTTACGTTTCTCGGTTCTGATGCTCCTCTTCATATGTTTGTTTACTTCTGTGTATTCGGCTTGTGTCTTGGCTTTTTCTGCTCTTGTTCGACTGGCATTGATCGCTGCCTTCTTGTTCCCCCTTTCTTGAATCTTATCCAGTGTATCGACAGTGATCCATTCCTTGTGATGGTGCTTCTTGTGACCCAGGACCTCATGACATGTTGAAGTGATTGCCTCTTTGACCCCCTTCCAGTTGCTCTCCATAGTAGTTCCTTCTTCATTGAGTAGATCATGAAAGGCCTGGAACTTATTGCTGAGGACTATCTTGAATTTGTTGAGTTTGTTAGTATCCTGGAGAAAGGCCGTATTGAACTTTTGTGATACTGTCTGCCCCGTTGTCCAGTGTTTCTTGAGTTTGAATTTCATCTTGGCGACCAGCAAGTGATGGTCTGATGCTATATCAGCTCCTCTCTTGGTTCTCACGTCCTCTATAGTCCTCCTGAGCTTTTTGTTGATGCAAATATGGTCGATTTGGTTTTGCGTGGTGTGATCCGGTGAAGTCCATGTGGCTTTGTGTATGCGTTTATGTGGGAATATGGTGCCGCCTATGACCAGTTCATTGAAGGCACATAGGTTTGCGAATCTCTCACCATTTTCGTTTCTTTCTCCCAGTCCGTGCAGTCCCATGATGTCTTCATATCCAGTGTTGTCCATTCCAACCTTGGCTTTTAAATCTCCCATCAGAATGGTCAGGTCCTTTGTTGGGCACTTCTCGACGATTGACTGCAGCCTATTGTAGAATTGACCTTGGTCCTTGGTCCATGAGATTCCCATCCTATAAGTGCATTTTGCGCTTGTTTGGACAGCATCAATGCAACTCCTTGTGTATGTGGTGCATTTTCTTCTTCATGGCCGGAGTATAACAGGAGCTCTCCTGTAGTTAGTCGTTGCTGTCTAACTTGTCTCCAATGTGTTTCACTGATCCCAAGTACCTCTATGTTGTATCTTCTCATTTCTGTAGCAATTTGGAAGGCTCTTCCCGTGTCCCACATTGTAGGAACATTCCATGTACCTAAATAAATGGTCGCTCTGTTTGTCAGAAAGGGCATCGGCCTCGTAACTTCCGAAGGAATTCGGCTTTCATCATGAGGCGTCATAATTCTTCTAAATGAAGACCTTCTGACTCCCAGGGCAGAGTTTAAAAGGTTTGAATAATTTTTTCTGGTTAGCGTTTTTTTAGTGAGTTAGTTTTTTACGGGGTGGGGACGCTAACCCCATGCCCAACCCTCCTCCTTTATACGGGCTTAGGACCGGCAGTAGCCCCCGGAGGGACTCCAGGCGGAGTTAATTGTAACACCAGATACCTTCAAATTCCTAACGTAATGTCAAAGCATTAACTTGTTTTCATTCAACATATATAACTTCATTGATTAAGCGGATTTCCACAATTTAATGAAAATGAATAACAATAAGGATAGTTTTGTAGATTAAGTTTATGTTATCTAATTCTTTAGATGTTGGAAAGAAAGAAAGAAACTTCTTATTTAGTTTATATATATCAGTCAGTTAGCTACACTGTAGGATTAGGCACATATATACATCGGTCCATGTTGCCATACCTCATTATCACATCAGGATCAACACTAAATTCATAGAAGTAGTTCCTTCATTGGTAGTAATATCTATATATAAAAGAAAGATGACATATAAGGATATAATACAAGAAGTAAGAATTAGTTCCTAGAAAGAAACATATGAAATGGAGTTTATATATGTCAATTTATATTATATAATGAACTTTAAAACACCCTACACAAAAATGTGCTTAAATTTCATTATAGGTTATCGATATTCTTAATTTCATTAAAATATTCTTCAGTTTAAATATTCATAAATCAAAGAGGATACAATATACTTCAACGTTTAATTCAAGATTATTCATTTGATTATTAATTGGATACTTTTATTTCAAAATTCTTAAGTTTCATAAAGTGTACTTCTAGAATAAATTTTATAATTTCGACTGGATGGCTGTTTTTTTTAAATATGGAACTCCTCAACTGTGAATATCTATGATCCTCCATGTGGGACTCGAACCCAGGATCTTGAGTCTCTTATGTTAACGTTTAACTTCTACATTACTAAGCTTATCGGCATTCAGAGGTGTTGACGTTTAACTTCAACTAATCCATGAAATCGAGGCACTATCCACCATTGTCTTCAGTGAATAACTGCTACACAACTGACACGGTTGAACTTGATTGGTCACAACTTCTTACTAGAACTGCATGAAATTGGTGTTGAAACTATTTACATGATGATTATCAGTATAGGGTTGTGGATATTGTTGAATTTTGGTTGATATCATGAATGGATGAATGTCAGACAACCATTGCAAAGCTGGAGACAGAAAGTCCTGTGTTGGAATCCCACGTGTTGGATTGTGGATGCGCATTGTTGAGGAGTCCCATACTAGAACAAAACAACCACCTAATGATCCCACGTTTTCAATGGTAATCTAACATTCATCGATTCATGATTTCGATAAAAAAAATACTCAGAAATAATTGAATTTTCAAATAACTAACAACAGGTTTATTTCAGGACTGAGTACAACTTGAAAGATAAGCATCAAAAGGTCATTTCCTTTTACATAAACAATTCTACATAATATTACTTATTTACGCTGAAGTTATATTCTGGAAAATATCCGATTTTCAACTTCAGATCTTTTAATGGCAAGATTTTTGAGTACTGCTATTATACATTGAATATTTCGCTGTTCACTGTTTAATCGCTTATGATGTTATTACGGATTCTGTTGTTTCAGTATACAGTAATTGTGTTATTTGCATAACATTTTTCACGTTGACATTGTTTTATATTAACTAAGACAGCTATTTTAGGGTTTACCTTCAGAGTGCTTAGGAAATTAATAGTAATTTTTCTAAACTATTTTTATACTACCGTAATCGCAAAACTCCACAGATTGTTGTATAAATACTTTATATTTGGCTAAATACAACAATTTCCAATGTTTTCAGTTTACAAATGTTCCTATGAAATATAAGTCTACCATAAGTAAATTAGATATAACTCAATGAGACTCATCAGATAGAAAAAATTATCATGAAGATAATGACGTAAATTGAAAGGGAAATTATTTCAGAAATGATTGAATACGTTCACTTGGTATTATTTCGTTGAACCTTCCCATTAAGGTTTAAAATTGCAATTGATCAGTCTGTTATTTTTGCTTATAAAGCTTGTGAATTAAGGTAATATCGAGGCAATACGCACAACAAGCACATGTGTTAATAACAGACTGATCATTTTCAGTCTTAAACCTTAATGGGAAGATTCAAGCAAACAATACCAAGTGAATTTAAATTCACCCCATTACACAGGCAAATAACTATCAAGACTCAGTAGCTGAGTACATAATGCGATAGCGTTTGAAGCGAACGATACTGGATTCAACTCCTAGAATGGACATCAACTTTGAGATGCATATATTTCGATCTGAAGAGTCCCAAATAGGACGAAACACGTACCAAACTGGATTCCACTGCTAGCCACTATCTATGATTGAATACACTTCATTTATTCATTAAGTGAACAAACTGTTTAGAATACAATATAGATTTCCTGTTGAATAACCTCAAATATCTATTCAATCATTAAAATTGTTAATAAAAGTAAACAGATTTTGATGGAGTTTTGTTCTCTGAGCTGGATGGTTTGGTCGTGAAGCTTTCATCGTTCTTCTGAACGACATCATCAGCACAAACTTCGGATAGAAGTGAAGTGTTTGAATTTCTCCATATGCGTTTCACAGCTTGTTCTGTACACCTCCAAAAACAAATATAACATCATCTACAAAATAAATTGTGCCAACTGTGAAAAACACTACATTGGACAAAGCAGACGCTCTCTTCACCTTCGCCTACATGAACATCAATTAACAGTCAAACGCTATGATATTTCCTCACTTATATTGATACACGTGGACAACTGCGGACATTCATTCGATTGGAAAAATGTGGAAATCTTGGACAGAGGAAATTCCAAAAACATTAGAGAATTTTTAGAAGCCTAGCACTCAGGTCAATTAGCAATCAACAACCATATTGAAATCAATCAGTCAGGAAAATCATGCATAAATATAGGAACAAAAACCAAACCAATAGGAGACACAACCAAAACAAAGAAGTAAACAATGATAAATTTAAGGTCAATAAGAACCAATCAACATCGAGGTGTACAGAACAGGCTGTGAAACACATATGGAGAAATTCAAACACTTCACTTCCGTCTGAAGTTTGTGCTGATAATACTGTTCAGAAGAACGATGAAAGCTCCACGATCAAATCATCCAGCTCAGAGAACAAAGCTCCATCAAAATCATCCACCTGAGCTACAAATCTTCACCATCTCAAAAGTAAATAGATCAACATTCTTTGTTACTGTTTATTTTTTTTTTAAAAAAGAAAAGAAAATATCATGAACAATATGAACATGAAATCATCTTACAAAGTTCAACAATCAAAAGTGACTAATAAACAAACAAACAAACAAGATAATCAAGAAAATAATGTTGATTCGAATTGAATAAATAAATAAATAAATATACATTTTATTATAAATTTTATGAATTATGTAACCAATGATTACGTTTATGTCTATCTAAATTAGTTCTTTGAGCAAATGCTCTTTTACATATTGTACATATAAATGGACGTTCACGTTGATGTATATTTCTTATATGACGTTGCATATTAGATGATATACTAAAACCTCTTTGACAATATTCACAATGATATGGTTTTTCACCAGTATGTGTACGTAAATGACGATTTAAATTAGCTGAACGTGGAAATTCTTTATTACAATGTGGACATTGATAACGATATAATAAATTAGAATTTTTATTGATTTTTATATTATGATTATTATTATTATTTAATTGTAATTTATATTTAATACGATTATTAATTAATTGTTGATTATGATGATAATGATAAATATGACGATAATAATGAATTGGATTAGATGATGATGATGATGATGATGATGATGATGATAATGATGAATTAATAGAATAGGATAATTTAGATTTATTGAATAATTTTGTATTGATTTTATCATTTATTGATTTAGTAAATGTTGATTGTTCAGATAAAAGATTTGATTCATTTTGATAAATGATCCATTTTTGTGAACATGAATCAATAGGTAATTCATCTAAAATAAATAAAACAAAATAAAAACAAATGAGTCGATTGCAACTAGATCACTATGAGAAACCTGGAAGCACTAAATGACCGTTTGCGTCTTATTTGGGGACTCCTCAATAGTGCATGTTCATGATCTGCCACGTGGAACTCCAATCCACAGCATTCGGTCTCCCGCGTAATAAAACACTTACCCTCTACACCACTGAGCTTGTCGGTATTCAACGGTGTTCGTGTATAACTTTAACTAATCCACCAAATTGAGCGATACATCCACCATTGTCTTCGGGGATTTATTAACTTACAATGGAGCCGGTTGAACTCCACTGGTCACTACTTCTCACTAGAACTCCAGGAAATACCTCTTGGGGCCAGTCACTTCTAAGCATATGTTGAGTATTATCAGAAGGGGTTTTTGTGAATATTATAGTAAGTTCAATAGTTGAAATCATGAGCCAATTGAAGCTAGACCATCATAGGAAACCTGGAAGCACAGTGCTTCCGGGTCTGTTGTGAGATAGTAATTCACTGAAGACAATAGTGCATGTGTCGCTCAATTTCGTGGATTAGTTGAAGTTAGACATTAACACCGTTAGTGGTGTAGAGGTTAAGCGTCGGCAAGAGAAAGCTGTGACTTATGTGGTACAACAAATTAAAAATAGGAGTAGGTTTAAGGTCAGCACTATTAATCAACATTTGCACTAGATCGAGATTTATTCTAAACAATAATATTCGAACAAAGGGGTTTCTGGTCAACTGGTTGAATGGCGAGACTCTAATTTATAGACGAGCCAATCACAAGCGTTTTAGAGATTTCAAGGTTACGGCGCCAACTTCAGTGCTTAATGCTAACGTATGATCGGTTCACAGGGAATCTTTTTAGAAAACGTGATAAATGATCGGCTATAACAAATAAAACAACGAAACCATAACTTGTGGACGAATCAATCAGGTATAAGATAATAGATATCGGATTTTAACGCGAAAGCCTTTCATCCGCTTGGCTAAATACATTTCTGGAATTATAGCTGATGTCAGTTCGTGATGAAAACCCCATATATAATTCCTAAATATGGCAAATTACGACAATCATTGCGAACTGGATAATAAAAGCACCAGTAACACTGGCTGCAGTCAGGTACTACAACATATACAGATGTTTGGAGAGTGTACAGACTCCTACATAGGCTTGATTATGTGCATCGTGTCGTTATCCACAAATAGCATTTTGTGTACTCAACAACCGGAGTGCATATAAACAATATTGAAGCTATGTGGTCGAGGCTGAAAGAGTATTTGAGATTTTATCATGAATCCATAGGCCGACTATTCTGTAGCTGTATGGATGATTTTCTCCACTGCATGCATTACGATTTCAGAACCTCTGAACCTCTTTCTAACCTTGATAAGTTTTTGAACCACGTCTAAGAAGTGTATCCACTTTATTTCCATGGTTTTGTATAATATATTTTTACTCTATACTGACTGTTTGCTGATTGGTTAATATTTCTCAAGGTCACTTAAGGTTCGTTCAAAAGTCGTCCATAAATTAGAGTCTCGCCGTCTGGATTTTAAGTGCTGACAATGGGTTCTTAAGTTTTCAGGTTTGGTCCCCTGCAGGTTCATAGTTACTCAATTCTGAAGATCCCCATACGAGAACGAAATAGCGATCCAGTGCTTTTTAGTTTTCAACGGTTGTCTCGTTACAAACAGTCCGTGGTGTAAACTACTTACTATTTCTAGTCCAACCCTATATGAGATTAAGTTTAAGAATTGCCTAATAGCTCCAATCCAAAACTAAACAACCATTTACTGTTTTCAAACATTCAGGAATTATTTAATTAGTGTCACTCATTTGGTGATAAAAACTACCTCTAAATCGACCAGTTTTCTGCATCAAAATCTTTTAGGTAATTAAATATGATTTCTTTTAATGTCCTTAGTACAACACTATACTTTGGAAGTTTATCGTCAGGTAATTTAATGTTTTGCTCTAAGGAATTCATTTAAGCCAGTCAACAAAGGATACATTTGTAGTATACTTAGTTTAAATCTTGAATATTAGTTTTAGACACACCATTCGCTTGTATATATATATATATATATATATATAGTATAATTAATAAGTGATAACCATTAATTCAAATACGACATATTAATATCATAAATAAGCTGTTTATCAATTGGAAATAATGAAATATTCATCATTAATTGACCATTGAGTAACCACTAACATCATGTTTAGGCCAGACTATAATTTATGGGCTAACCAATCAGATTTTGGATAACAGGTTTTGAATTTCGGCGCGAAATTCATTTATCCATTTGAACAAAATAACGTTTCAGTATTTTAGCTGATGTCATTTCGTGATGAAAACCCTAAATCTAATTCCTAATACTAAGCATCAACTGAAAATCATAATCTTAATTCCTCACACTGGTTTATAACTATTATGTAGCCCTAATAAGTAGGTGAACATGATCAAGGTTATTTTACGCCGCTCAAAGGTCGTCTATAAACTGTAGTCTCACTCATGTTTGTTTAATACTTTAGTATTAAGACTTGAAAACTTTGTTACTTAACTTCAAATCTCATAGGAAGTATTATTTCTCTCAAAATATTGCAAATTTAGTAAGCAAGAATATACCAACTAGTATGAAATCTAGATATGAAATTTCAGAATGATCATTTCCAATCATTTAATATAGGGGGAATATATCTATGTACGAATAAAAATACGATTAATGTTATTTATATATTTCAGTGGTTGAGATCGTGAGTTATTCGAATGTAGACCACCATGGAAAGCCTGGAGACAGTGGATGGCCGTTTCGACCTATTGTGGGACTCTTCAGCAGTGCACATTCACGATACTACCTCGCGAGGTTCGAATCCAGAACCTATCAGTCTCGTGTGCTAACGTTTAATCACTAGGCCACCGAGTCTGCATCCAACGGTGTTAATGTTTAAGTTCAATCAATCCACTAAATTGAGCCACACATGGACCATTGTCATCAGTGAGTTACTATTTTACAACAGACACGGTTGAACTCCACTGCCGGCTCAGTGGTCTAGTGGTTAAGTACTCGCATGCGATACAGTTAGATCCTGTGTTCAAATCTCGTAAGATAGGATCGTGAATGCTGATGAGTCCCATAATAAGAAGAAATGGTCATTCAATACCTCCAGGTTTTTCATGGTGGTCTAGTTTCAATTGACTCATGATTTCAACCAGTGAAATTACAATATATCCACAAAAACCCTTCTGATATATAAATATGTATATTACAATCATCACCTTGATTTGATTGAAAATTAGAAAAATTTTCATCATTTGATATATCATATTTATTGACTTTTAAATGATCTGTTGAATTATTTATCTTTTGATAATATTTCTCTTTATCTAAATGTAAATTAAATGAATTTAAACTAATATGATATTCTTTATTGAATTCATTTGTCTCCTTTTTAATCCATTTTAAACTTTGATCATTTTGTTGATGATCAATTTGTCGTTGTTGTTGTCGATGATCTTGTTGTTGTTGAGGAGGATGATGATGATGATGATGATGATCATACTGCTGCTGTTGTTGTTGAGGATGATGATCATACTTCTGTTGTTGTTTGAATTGTTGTTTTAATAATAATTGATGTAAATTTTGCATAAATTGATGATACCAATTTATAAAATTAATTGATAATTCAAATGATGTTGTATATTGTTGATTGATTGAATTCATATTAGAAAATTTTATACATGGTTTTAATAATGAATATGAAATATTTGTATTATCTTGTAAAGGATCTATTGAAGATGAATTAATAGAATTATAGGATTGTCGTTCTTGATTGTGTTGCTGCTGATGCTGGTGTGATTGTTGTTGTAGTTGTTGAATAGTAGGAATGATATTTGATGTAGAAAAAAATCGATAAAGATAATATGGGAAATTTGAAAGAAAATTTATTTTATCCAATTGAAATTCATGATTAATTGAATGTTTAATATTTGATAATGGTTTTGGTTGATGATCATTTAATTTAGAATAATGATATTTAGATAATGTATGAAGAGTTTTTGATAGTGTATTGGTAAAATCTATTAAATTATTTGTAGGACTAATATTGGAAGTGGTTATTGTTTGTGTTAATTTTTCATATGCTACTGATGATGTTAAAGCCGTTGAAAATGTATTCAACTTAGTAGTATTATTGGTAGCAGTGGTAGTAGTAGTAGTAGTAGTATTAGTAGTAGTACTTGGTAATGAAGATAATGATGAAGTTAAATGATGATTGAATAAAGCATCAATGTGTTGTTGTTTATTCATTTCAGTTAGATTATTTAATAATTCTGAATTCGATATTTTACACGAATGATTATCATGGTTTATATTTGTGGAAAATAACGAGTTAAAGGATGAAGATGAAGATATTGTTGTTGATGGCCAAGTGTCAAAGATTTTATTTTTATGCATTCTCAAATCAAGAATTTCATCAGAATCATAATTCTTACTTTGTAGTTCATAATTAACATAACATGATGATGATGATGATAGTGTACTGTTATTTGACTGATGTTCTAAAGATGAGTCATTATCAAATGGACGACCATTATCAACATCATTATTATTCTCTTGACATTCATCTAAATTAGTTGAATGATGGTAGCGACTAAAACTCTGCTCATTCATAATGGTCACAAAGGATAATTGAACAGATTCTTTTTTGATTTATCCATTGTAAAATATATTCAGATTGTAATTTGTAATGAATGTAACAGTAATAGTATATCATTTGAAGACAAAAACTCTGGCACCGATTTACCTTATTATACAAATTAGAAGAAGAAAAATGATGTTCTATATCATCATATGTATTTATATATAAGCTTTAGTATTTACTATTACAAATAAGGTCAAATTAATCACAAGTATCGTGATTGAGTAGTTCCTCTAATACATTAAGTAATCTATTATACATTTTTTCGCGTATATATGAAACTGTAACACATATACAACTTGTAATCTGTTACTTCAAAGTGTAACAACTATTAGCAAAATGTAAATTGAGATACGTAGTCACTGATTACTGTCATCTGTTTAAATATTGTAAAAAGAATAAGGGTTGTGTAAATTCAATTATCAATTCCTCTATCATTGTCATCATTATCACCATCATTACTGATAACAGTAACACTGTATTAATCATTATCATCATCTTTATGACAAATGATCCCAATTAACTACTATTTACTACTATTATTATTAATTCAGTAAATCCGATTAGTAAAAATTGTAATTTGATTCTAAAACATGTGTTCACATATCGAAAAATAAAATAAAATTAAAGAAATAAGGTTTTTCTATGCAGAATCAAATTACCTATACACATACTGGATGTTCATATCATCATTTGTAAATTAGTATACGTAACAATTGTTGCGAAGACATATATACGCAAAATGACAGTAGAACCTAACAATATGATATATATATATATATATACTGTCATGGTAATCTGTTTCCAAAGTATCCGAAATTGTATCATTTCTCTATATCTTACCCATTATAATTAGAGTATATATGTATACTACATTTGAAGATTTATTTCAATCAAAGGAACCGATAATTGACTTTGAATCTGTTCAAATTTCACATGTATACAAAACAGTAATCACAAGATAGATACATTTCATGTGGTGAAGATCCAATGAAATAAAATAAAATGGAATGACATAAAATTATTGATCAAATTTTAAACCATAATTTTAATGTATAACATTGTTGTTAACAGTAAGTATGGTATTCTGTGTCATATTCTATTTGCTGATCTATTTGGTCAACATCAACTTGCTTGCCACTTAACCTAGAGACTCTAGGTTTAATCTCGGTAAGAAACCAAAAATGAATATGAATGATAGCAGATTCAAAGCTTATTTAGTACATCGTAAACATACTCTTTAAATCAAAGTATATACCGTTAGAGAAATAAGAAGACGGACTTGATCCAAACAAAGCAATGTATTTGCGTTATCTATTTCAAACAATCTGATTACATATATTCATTTCAAGGCATAGCTCTATCAAAATAGATAAAAAAAAAGCTAATTTAAGGTATATTCAAACAACCTTATGCCTTATAGTCAATGTCTTCAATCTTCATGTCGTTGAATACAGAAAGTGATAATGAAAAGTTAATCATTTTGAATATCACTATTGCGATTAACATGGTAAGTATCAAACATAAAGGAATGTCGTTAATATATGTATGATATTTTTCAAGTATATTGTCAAATAATCAATAGTTCTAACGAAGCTGACACAAATGCTGACTATTGTCTGTAAATAATTTCAGTGTTAGCTGTAAGCATTTACCTTTACATTTCAATATATTGAATCTTTGAAATATTAAGAATCATCAATTTCTTACATTGAATTCATTAGGTTTTAAATAATCTATTTGATTATCTATTTGAAATATCCAATCACATTTTGCCCTATTCATAGTTTCTTAATAAATGCCCGCCTCTAATTACTCTACAACACGTTGTCTTAGTTAATATGAATATTTCATATTGGTTCATCAATATTTCACATTTATATCAGAGTAACAAATGTACAATACATAATAATGTGGGTTTATATTTTATTGACTATTTTTGAGAATTCATCTTTTCAATAGTTGAAATCATGAGTCAATCGAAGCTAGACCAGCATGGAAAACCTGGAAGCACTGGACGGTCGTTTCGTCCTAGTATGGGACTCTTCAGCAGTGGGCATCAACAATGATAGGTCCTGGGTTCGAATCTCGCGGGGGGATCGTGGATGGACATTGTTGGGGAGTCCCACAATAGGAAGAAACGGCCGTCCAGTGTTTCCAGGTTTTTCATGGTATTCTAGCTTCAATTGACTCATGATTTCAACTATTGAAATTTCTAAAAATCTCCACAAAACCTCTTCTAATAATTCATCTTTTGTTTATATAATGGTTACTTTTAGGTTGAATTATAAATTGATTTTATCTAATCTAAACTGATAGGTGTTGAATAGCAGTTTGTGGAGTTCTACAAAGTTATTAAAAAATACTAAGGACAGGGTGAAGAAAGTCCGTAAGATAATATATATGAAGAGATTTGAGTGTTAAATGGTAAAAACATTTTTCTTAATTAAAAATTATTTTATTTTAAACTGTACACCTTTAAATAGAACGGTTTTAGGTCCTAATAGTAAACTTTAGATTTTAGAAAAACATGAATTATCACTAAAGGGTTGTGCAGATTGTTGAATTTTGATTGATATCATGAATCAATCAATGTTAAATCACCATTGAAATCCTGGAAGCATTAGATGGCGGTTTCATCCTAGTACAAAACTTATCAGCATTGAGCATCCACGATCCCTCATGTGGGACTCAAACACAGGACCTTCTGTCTCTGGGTTTTTAATGGTGGATTGATTGAAGTTAGAAATTAACACCATTGTATGCCGACAGGCTCAGTAGTGCAGAGTATAAATGTTGATACGCGCGAGATGGAATGCTGTGGGTTGGAGTTCCACGTGAGTGATCGTGGACATGCACAGTTGAGGAAAACCATACTAGAACGGAACGGCCGTTCAATGCTTCTAGGTTATCCATGGTGGTCTAGATTCAATTGACTCATGATCTCAACTATTGAAATAAAATATAACACGATGTTGATTTTATTAATTGTTTCATTGGTTTATTTAAATAATGTTCAATTATATTTAAGATTGTGGAGATTTATAGCTCAGGTGAATGATTTTGATGGGGTTATATTCTCTGAGCTGGATGGTTTGATCGTGGAGCTTTCATTGTTCTCCTGAAAGACATAATCAGCACAAAGTTATATTTAAGATCTTTTTCATGTAACACTTTTATCTCTATTCATTAACTATAATATATAGAGGATATTTTTGACAAAAATAATAATATTTGTATGCAAAGATGGGTAATGGCTAGCAGTGGAATAGAAGTCGCGAGTTTCATACCATTTTGGACTTGTCAGATGGATATCCCTGTATCTCAGAGTTGATATTCATTCCTGGATCCCACCGTTAGCCACTACCCATCTCTGCATAGAATGCTTGTGAATTAAGGCAGCATCGAAGCGATCTATACATGCCAATAAGAGACTGACCAATTGCAGTTCTAACCATCAATGGGAAGTTTTAAGTAAACAGTAGCAAGTGAAATAATAAATGTATCTTAATATTCTTTAATTATTTTATATTTTTCTCATAAATAAAAAGTGGGTTTATACTAGTACGCTGTGATTATTCTCCCTCTTTTTTCTACTCGATCTTTAAAAGCAAGATAGTAAAACCATAGGGCCAGAATTTATGTATATGTCATCTTATATCATAACTTCACATACCCCTTACATTAATGTTAACCATGTGTTCATTAGTGCCTAACTTCGAGAGGCAAATTTGAGCGTTTTCGTGAGAATCAGTAACCAGTGAATGTGTGAAATCTGATATGACGTTGTTATCGAACGATGATTGAGTAATATCACAAATTAATTATAATTAACAAATGTTAACCAATGGAGGCCAGCTCAGGGGTCTGGAGGTTAAGCGCTCGCTGTGACGCTATCAAGTTCTGAGTTGTTAGCTGGTCACTGTTCTTGATTCTTAACTTATGACTAAACAAATGTCCGGTGTTTCTTAGTTTTTAATGGTTATTTCACTAAGATCAATTCATGATGTGAAGTATGATATTTACTTGGTTAATGAACTACAAAAAAATATTTATAAGCTTAGGAGACAAGGTTTACTAAATTTAAACGATTCTTTTTGTTTTAGTTACCAAGGTCATTAACATTATTTTTGATGAGACTTCAGACGACAAGAGCCGGTTTAAAGCTTTGAACTATTTCGTTTTTTATTAAACTTTATTCTGTATTAAATAGATAGTTTTAATCATACAAAATTCAGTCAAAATATCAGAAATTAGATAATCTAATCCACTTTAATTTGGATTAAAACTCATACCTATTCCATAAGTGAATGACTACCTGAACTCAGTAGCTAAGTAGATAATAGGATGGTATTTGAATCGGACGATACTAAGTTCCAGTCGAGCATCGAGTCTGGAATGTAGATACATCCGGTTGACGAGCCCAAAATCGAATGAAACGCGCGTCTTGGATTCTACTGAAAGCTATATTTCATTTATGCTATACTAACCTTTGTCATAATTGGCTACATCGAGGCAACTTGCACAAGATGCACATATGCCAACCAATATATTAACAACCGGATAATTCAATCCATTTCAAATCGATACATGAATTCTTCCTAACTAAATGGTATATCATCACATTTAAGTATTGAAATTTCCAAATATTCAATAGCAAGGAAACTAAAAAGATCCACATAAAATTTAGGAATTCATTCTAGTGTGGTTAAAGAACAATGGCTGAATGAAAATTCCTTATCATCAGACAATTTACAATTGGTTAGACAGTGAGTATTGGCAAATATGATGTTTGTTTAATCCTTTCGTACTGGTCGAGTTTTTTCTACCAAGTTGCACTGTGTCTCACCAGTTTGAGTGACTTGACATTACATGAACTTGTAACCGGTGGGTCCTGGAGCCCATGTGCACCATTGGTTTGGAATTAAGGTTTTCCAACTCCCCTAGGTGGACCCTCGATGTCCACCAACTC